TGTTCACCATTACTAAGAAGGAAGTGCAAAGAAAGGTGACCAACAACAAAAAGATAGTAGAACAGATTACCTAAGAAGGAAGTGCAAAGAAAGGTGACTGACTTTGGGGAAGAAAAAAAAATAGTGTCTGTTGCTGCGGCAAAAGCAGTTAAGGCTGGCAACTGTCAGAAGAGTAGACAGGATAAAATCCAATTAAGGAAAAACACAGAACAACAGAAGTGACTAAAGATGGCAGTTAAATAGAGGTCCTGAAGCTGTGGAATGCTTCACGACACATAAAATCAACCTCTGAAAAGATGAAAAAGGCAAGGCAGCATGTCTGATAGGAATACAGGAAGACGTAGAGATGAGTGGGGCACATGACTATTGCAGAAGTGTATAGTGGATTTTGTATACCTTTACTGTCGTATAAAAAGTCTCTCAGGCACATAATGCTCTAAAGAGAATGCCATTATTTTTTCTGCAAATTTATGGGCATTATTCCAGAAAGGAATGCATATAGGGAGAGAAAGCACAACATTAGTCAAGGCAGTGAATACTGAAGGAGAAAAAAATAATAAATATAGAAACAACAGAATTCTGAGAAACAAACTTGGAATGGTGAAGAAGAAGATAATACGTATTTTATATCTAGAGAATAAAACACAGCTGCCAGATATATGCTTTATTAAATACTGATATGCTGACATATTTAGGAGAATGCTGAGAAATGGGTCTCAGAATTGTTAGAACCTATGACATGCAGAGAAAATGATTCAGTAAAATAAGAGAATAAATGAGAGGCATAAGAAAAGAAAGTGAGATTGCATTATGTTCCTGGAACATCTTTCCATATGACAAGTGGGGCAAGAAAATGGTATACAGTGGATAGAATGATTTAGGTGACATATATAAAGGAAGTATGGAGATTTTATAGCACAAATCCTGCCAGAATGAAGTGAGGAATGTTACATGGTGGATATCTTCCTCTGAGTGAAACCTCTTTTTGGTATGATTTGATCAGTTATTTTAGGAGAGCATCAGAGTAGAAGTAGCTCAAACTAACACAATGAAGTGCAGAGAGAATATGACATTCACTTTCTTTTTTTCTTGATCACTATTTATTACCTTCTACGCTTCTCCAAAAATGCTCAAACCACCGGCTGTCAACAAGATGTACTTAATATGAACTAAGGGAATAGTCCTTCATAAAGAACATAAGCATTGATCCATATTACAGACAGATGGAATATCAGAAATCACTGCCTCCATAATTGTATCATACTAACTACATAACTACTTTAATTATAAGTTGTTATTAACCTGACAAATAGGAATGATTAATTTTGTTCACATTCTACGTTATATAGAAATGGTGACAATGACAAAAATATATGGATCTAATTTTGACATCAAATACATTATACAACTGTAATAAGTATTGCAATTGCAAAATGATATAAACTCTAAATTTTTTATTTGCAACGAGATGAGTCAAACTGGTATAGGAGCTTTTTTGAAAGGTTACAGGACATATTACATATGAAGTGATATACAGAATAACTCCTGTCCGTAGAGACTTTCTAGTCCTAGTCAGTAGGACTACGTAACCAGCTCCAAAGCTCTTGGGAGAAAATATAAACACATTCAAGTATAAGAGGTAAATGGTACAAGTATAAGAGGTAAATGCTAGTGATAACTCACAACTCTGGTACAGCTGAATCTACTGATGTTTGTAGATGTTTTAAAATTTACTTCATTTAAATGCCACAAATACTTTGAAATATGTTGCAAGTTTTTACAGTATTATACAGTATGATGACAGTATTAATAATAAACAGGGTTATATTATTTGTTTTTTCACCTCATCTACATAAATTTTCATAGCCATCTTGCTTTGAAACAGTGCCTCTAGTTTTCTGGACAGTTATTAATTATCTCCCCATTTTCAAAATTTATTCCTCTTTACAAACATTAATGATGATTTTTACCCAAATGAGCATTTCCGCTTTAAAGTAATTGAAAACTAAGCAGCTACTTAACTATGAAATCAGCTACTGAGAAATTTTATGTTCACCACTTACATTGTTAAAGGAGAGATTTTGAAATTACATTTTTTCTGCATGGAAATGAATAGTTACAAAGCATTAGAGTCCTAAGCTATATCAGGACTCATTCTTCAAGTACCGTTATTAATAATTCATGCCATGGAAACCTTCATTCTTACCTCTGCAACCTTCTTCACAGAAGAATTTCAAATTGTGGATGATTTTCTTCAGGTAACAGTTTGGGTCTGTATGCTAACTCTCCTCTCAGAATATTTCTCTTTCTCATGGTTTGGGTCATTATACATTTTTCCCAGGCTTATAATATTTTTATAAACAAAAGCATATTGTAGGAGGAGTACAGAGGAGATATTATTCCTTAGGAAGAGCTATTATCCTTAACAGCCTCTTTTTAATTAGCTTTTACATTTTTTTGCTTTCTTTAAGCTTTCTCAGAAAAAATATTGTTATAGAACAGCATGTTCATGAATATACTCAGTAATCTTTCTTTTCCAATAATAAGTAATGCATGGATAATGTTCATTAAGATTACAGGCTAGCCGAGGTTCTGGGTATTATTACTTAATGAAGAGCACTTTAAGATAAAATCTCAGAATCTGTTGTCTGCAGATTTCAAAAGTGTTTGCATTATTGATGCTTTTGAACTTTACAGAAACCTAATGGAACTTTCATTCCGAACCCATGCTGGCACTTTTGAAAACACCTTCCACGATCACTAAGTTAATGGGACTTAACCTGGCATACTAATTTTCCAATATAATTACAATCTTTTCTTAATGTGCACTCCAAGCAGGCAGAAGTACCCAGCTCACTTAAAAGCAGGGAAGTTGAATTCTGTCAGTAAGTATTCCACTAATTCACTCCGTGACTTGGAATGGTTACTAAAGCCAGCAGCTACACTAAGGTACTAAAAAACACTTCAAGGAAAGATTTACATTGACTGTAGGAGGCTCTGAATCAGTCTGCAAATGGCTGATTAGTAAAATGTGCTGAATAGTTGCACTAATTGCTTAAGTCAACAACAGATGGAGGAGCTGGCATCCATGGACGTAAGGCCACTCCTTCATATATCCAACTTTAGATGTGTAAGTATGAACATTTGAGCTCAAGCTTTGCATCCCAGCTTTTCAATCAGTAAAGTAAGTCTTAAGGAAACCCCATTCTCACGTGTCATAGCGAAAACGCTGTTTAATTATCCATACATCAGCTGTGTCACAGACAACCACACATACAGACAACCACGGAACATGCCCCTTCAGCAAGTCTGCTCCCCTGGCAGTCTCAGCCCTCCGCTCCTGCTCCATTTCAGCCTCTCCACACCCGGCTTCCCCCACTGGGCTCCCTTCCTCACCAGCAACCGCCTCCGCCCCCAGACCAGCCCCCTCACACCTACCCAAGATCCCAGCCTCCTTACCCAGCAATCTTAAACTACATTGCTTCTCAGTCTTCTCCCCAACTATCTCCAGCCAAATTTTATGTCCTGTTCCATACCTGGGAACAGGGGGGCCGTGCCAACGAGAAAAAGGTCACCGGGATTTTCAGTATAAGAAAACAATTTACTTCATTTTTTGAAAGAGCAGAACTACTTGGGGTGACATTTTCCTTCTCTGTCATACACATGTGGACACACACAAATACACAATAGTTCTGCAAAAGAAAATAATGTTTTGCCCCAGTGAATTCAAATGATACTAGAAAGATTATAGCTGGAAAGATATTAATAACTGGAACCATTCATGGTGAAAATTTGGAACTGGAAGATGGGGAAGGGGAGCTGGGCTTTGAAGCCTAGAAAGTAGACTATCTGGGAAAGGGATATGTTAGGTAAGGTGAATAGGTGCACTGCCAGTTCTGCCTGTGAGGCAGAGAAACATATGCAAAATCGTCATAGAAAAACAGGTAGCTCCAGTGTTTGAATATAAGAAAGGAGCAAATTAGTATTTTCCAAGAACATGATTAATGCTTTAGTAATAATTTAGAAACAAACACCCAGCAGGAGTATTTAGAAGTGCAAATTGAGGACATATGTATCACTAAAATATTCTGAGTGTGCCAGCATTTTTTTCATTTAAGTTCTAGTTGCATCAAAACCTTTTTAATATTAATGAAATATTTAAAGTTAAGTTTTTCTCTTCTTTTTCTTGTGTGCTACAGTACAACAAAACAAAAGAGTTTGCTAGTGCTACATTTGAGTGCTTTGAAGAAACTGGTATTATTTAGTGCCAGCTAATAAAAGAGTAACTGCATGAACAGTACAAATAACAAGATAAGTATTATGGTGCCTTAATGCATAAGTAAAGAATCCATTTCTGACCATTTTCCACATAGACCATTTGCTTAATGAAATCAGCCTTCCTTCCTCTTCAAAGTACTGATTTGTATTACCACGGTTGGATGAAAACAGCCTTTTCACTCACTCAAACCACTCTCTCTCATTACCACTATGTTCAAGCATAGTGCAAAGCAAATTCAGTCATACAGCCAGCCCGATGTTGAAATAAAAAAAAAAAAATCCCATTTGATTATTGGAGTGAAAGGTTCCGCATCTGAACTTTGTACAGTAGGCAAAACTGTATTAAACTCCTCATATGCAGAATTCAACAGGGATACTCAACATGCAGTTTGCTTGCACGCACCCAACAAAGGCAGAAAAAAGAAGGCTCCACGACATAAATAAGCTCAGGGGAAGCATTCCAACACAAATTTTGCCCACAATCTCACTCATGGTATGTGTATAACTATTGGGAAACCCCTACATTAGGATGGAGGGGCTACATTCTGACCTTTTTGGGCATCTGCAATCTGAAAGCAATGGCATTACAGCAATTTTATAGAGATTAACAAATTTCTTTGATTCCATTATTAGTATCTGACAGTCCATGTGCAAAATTATACAGCTGTTCTCAAGTGTTTTTAGTGGATGTATTTTCTTTCTTAAATTTAAAATTAACAAACCTTCCCAGTCAGCTTTGAAAGATCATCTCCTCCCATTATCTGCATATCTTGCATAGACTGATCATTCTGAAAGAAGAAAGACAAAACTTTGCAATTGGGTACAACTGTAAAAAATAGAAGTATAAGCATGTTAACTTTTTTTGGATCTTTCACAGTCTTGGTTACCAGTATTTTCTAATGCTTGTTAGTATCGGTGCGACAAAACCACACTCTCACTCACTCTTGTGGCTTCTATCATCTCCTGGTTGTGTTTAAGCTAACATCAAGCTCCAGGCTTTACTGAATGAGAAAAAGTTGCCTCTTTCTTTTTAAAATAAATAATGTCCCCTTGCTTGCTATTTCTTAATATGACAAGTGTTGAGTTACGTACTTGTCCCTTTCACAACAGGAAGACAGGAGGATCTCAACACTTGACCAAACACCTGTAAGCACATTCTTTTTTTGGAACAGTCTTTAGAAGCACAGGCAAAATGTGCTTACATCTGTCACTCACACAGAGAACTCAGCTATTTTTGAAGACATTCACTCAGGGTTTTTTTTCAGGGGCGCAGGGGGTGGGGAGGGGAGGAGGGAGTTTTGAAAAATTATCACTTGTTTCTGTGTGCCATACAGTTTCAAGAGTCTTGGTTTTGCTTTTTTAGCTAACTCAAAGATAAAATCCTTGAGGTCAACTCTATAAAGTAAAATACTGCCAATCAGGTCAAACTAAATGGAACATAATAGTATGCCTTGATTTTTCTATTAGAAAAGGTATTTTTTCCAAAAAATCAGTAAACCAACTTTTTTTTGATAAATTTGTTTTACAGACATTTCTAGTTGAAATTCATTCTGATAGAAAATTCTCAACCGGTTCTAGTTCAAATTCATTATCAGCAGCACACAAAGTTAAAATCACAGAAGGGAGACATATGGAAGCCCTACTTTTAAAGTTAGACAAAAGAAGCCTTAAAGAGGGTAGCAAATTAAAAAATATACAGTCATGACCAGACTATGACTTCCAGAGAAAGCAGGAGCAAATCTAAGGGTAATTAATGTGTGGTTTTTTGCCAAAATGGTCCATGTGCTAATCTAGTCTCCCTACCCATAGGAAGACAGTGGTAGTCCAATTTTAATCATAGCTGCAGTACCAGAATGTGACAATGTAGTTTACTAGTAAAATCAGGAAGCTTTATCATTAGAAACAACTGACAAAAAAGCAATACTTGAATACTTTGCTTGTATTTCATAAATCCAGTGCTCTGAAGTCAAATGTTTTTCCACAAATAAAGAATGGGACAGCAGGACTTACAGGGTCGGTGAGGATTTACTGGGCTAAGGGGTTTATAGCTCTTCCTCTTCCTCTCAAAAAGCAGCACCAGCAGAGGTGGCACGCACGCGCCTGCCATGCGGCACGGCTACAGCTGCATGCCTGTGCAGATGGAAACTGCGTCTGCCCACGCTCACAGCCCAGGTGGCAACAGTCCAGGGACTTCCAAGGCACCTTCGCAGCCAGTTGATCACAAGCAATCCAGCATCCCCAGGAACTATTCGTGGTCCCCATGGGAATGAATTGCCTAAATTAATACAGCCTTCCTGAGTAACTGTAAGTAAAGGTTGCAGAATTGCCCAGACGACAATTTCTCCGGGTCTGCACACTGCAGACGCACTGAAAGGCTCCCCTGTTACTCAGACTCCACTTCCCAAAAAACTCTCACACCACAGCTTTGTAAGAGGTCCTCAGCAGTCATTGCCTTAAAAGACAAGTTTTAGACCTGCCTTCACTTTTTCTCCACCGGATCTAGGAGCTTTAGATCCTTTTCATGCTGCTCTGGTTTGTTTCCTGGGAAACAGAGCTAGAGCAGTAATGAAGGTTACATCCAATATGCTTTCTAATATAAGTTTCAACATTTCTTTTATTTTTGTAAAGAAAAACAGGAAGAAAAAAAACCCAAACAAAACAAGCAACTGATTCCTCAGAGTATTCTTTTAAAGCTAAATAAAAAGCAGAGATAGAAAAGATTTTACATTCAGGCTAAAAAGCATAAGCTTTTTGTTGTAGAGCAAGACAGGTCACTCTTCAAAAGTCAGGGACATATTCAGGTCAAGACTATAAAAAGCAGATAGTTTCTAATGATGGCATGTGTAACCAAGGCAGTGACTTTTTTTTTTTTTTCATTTCCAAATGAGGAAGACTGGAATTTCAGTAACAAACACCACACAGGAATTACTGAAGGGGCAGTTTGCCTTCAGTTGCTAGTTAAAAAAAAGAGAGAAAATAAGAAGATAACAGTGAGGTGCAATGATTAATGAATTTATTTATTTTTAACTAAAAAAAAAATCTCTTTTCAGCAGTCTTCACAGCAGCACTGTTTCCTTTGCATTTGGTATTTCTGGCTCCAGCTGAAAAGAAGATGCTGAAATAGCATCTTCATTGCTGGCAAGCAGTTAAGCAAACACAAAAGCCATTGAGATCCGAGGGATCAGAGCATCCGTCAATCTGCGTATTCACACATTGGCTGTTGTGACACAAATGCACACAATTATGAAAATCCTCATGTTCTGACTGGAGAATGATCACTGTCAGAATACAGGACTAAGTATTCACTGTGCCTAAAAACCATATATAAAATTGCAGCTCAGAACTCCCCAACCGGGGTGCTTTCAAGAAATTGAAAGAAATTAATTGCATCATGCAGTAGAGCAATTCTACTGCAAAAAAAAAAAAAATGCAGATCATTGATTTTAATGCCATTTATAACTATAATTCTATGTTCATCAATTAACTCATATTGTAAAATACATACCTGCCAAACAGCAAGACTCTATACCACAATGTCACATTACCGTAATCATAATGTTCATATAGATAATGGGCACACTATGGTTGCCATAGGAACCTCTCAATGCTTTTTTTTCTGAATCCTCAGTTTATAATCTCAAAATAACACTGTACTAAATGTTAAGTATAAACTACAACAAATGTCAGGAAAGAAAAAATAAATTGGTACTGTTTCATTCAGTACCAATTACTGTCAATTCAGAACTGCTTGTTTAATTTTCATGGTCTCAAATCATTCAGAGCTCCCTTTTTCATTTGGGAGTTGTTCTATACTTTGACACAACTGATACGATTGAGTCTATAGGACTTCTTATAAATGCAGAGACATGAATTAAAGGTTCACTTTCCACCTCCCAAAGTTCCTCAGTACTTGCTTTCTAACTTCCCTAAACCCTACCTAAACCCAACACTATTTTTGCTTAATACTAAATATAATGTCCCAGATAGAGACATATCAAAATCACATTGTTTTGGTTAATGCAGCTCAAAATTTATTGCAGCTATTTCTAACAAGACATGATGCATTTTGTCTGATGGTTTTTTTCTGTATTTAATAAATCTGCATTTTCCAGGATAAATCTCAATTTCTTTGATTTTACTTGCTATGTTGTGCTTTTTCACCTGTTCATCTTTGTCTTGTCATTTTATTTCATTCAGACCTTGTCAATATACATCTTCAGATCCTATGAATACTTGATGAATGAAAGCAAGAATGTTGCTATTTCCACCTCTATTTTTCATGGCATGCAAAATAAAACTTTGACTTTCTATGTTGATTGGAAGTATAGATATTTAAATTCCATCTATACTAAGTCATGTCTTTTAAATTGGGTGGGGCACAGAACTATTACATCTTTTACATCTCCTGAGATCAACACTTGGACAAAGTTCAAATTACAAGTGAAATGAGTTGGGTGGTCTCAGGAAAATTTATTATAAACAGCATTGCTCATCTGAAAATTGCACCAAACCGTGAACATCTGTTACTCTTCTAAAGAAACAGAATCTGGAGTACATTAATACGGGGCTCACTGAAACAATCACGGCAAAAAAAGAAGCTCTAACATAACAGTTTATATGCATAACTAAATTATGAAATATCAGCACCAGGTCATTATCACACATTCAGTTACTATAGTCTGCACAGTTCATATGGAATTTCTTGGAAAAAATGTGATTACCTTTTTTCCCAAAATTCATCAGGGAAACTTAACAAAGAAGGATGTGACCATCGGGCCTGTTCTGCTTTGCTTTCTGCCACTTGGGTGATACAGCAGATCCACCAACCTGAGGATTCCGATGAGGACGCCTCTCTTACTTTGCACCATCATCCCATCTCCTGTAACCCCGGGTTTTCCAGGAAGGTTTTGATGAAAAAGAAGTGATTGACAGCCCATCGCTTTCAGTTGTCCCTTGGAACTTCAAGCCACTGAATATAGAGCATGTCTAAGGCTTCCCTTATCCTTCCTTAATGGCCAAGTGAAATGGTCAGGACAGAATTACTGCCTGTGAGGTTTCTAACTGTAACTGAGCCACAATTGGGAGAGTTTGAAAAGCAAGAGTCAAGTACCACGTCACCAACAGGTTTGGTGCAACATGTCCACTAAAGCAGAGTAGAGTTGAGACTCCGCATTTACTTTGGCCTCACCTTTTTATTTTCCATTAAGACTGTCATTAAGGCTGCATGTGATCCATGCTGCTTCTGTTCTCGCAGGGTGACCCATGACCTTGCAATGTCTTCATTAAAGACAGGATTATTGTGTTCCTAATTTACCTATCTGAAAGTTAAGACATCTAAATCTATGCATCTGGGCTCCCTTCATAATCAATGGAGAAAACAAGAGAGATCACGTAAATCATCTATTTATGGGATATCTACAGGAAATAACTTACACCTAGACATCTAACTGTAAGAAATCTGAAGTTAGGTGAGATGAATCCCAGCTTAAGAGATGAGATCAATATTTTCTTCCTAAAAACCTCCCTGAGCACTCAGAAAGAAATTATTTTCAATCGCATTTACCCCAGGCACAGAAGAAGCAATGATCTTGACTATCATCCATTAGTAACATCCTGAACTATCCCCTTAGGATCTGTCTCACACAAACGTTTAACACAGTTCCCCTCAGTACCACTTCACAACAATTTGCTTGCATCTTTGCTCAAAGGTTTCATTTTAATCTAAGCAAAATACATTTGAGGTGAGATTTCAAAAGATATTGTTTCAATCTAATATTACTTCCAACTT